TCCTGACTTAAAGCCCCCTGCTCTCCTGGCCCTGCCTCATGCAGCTCTGCTGGTGCACCTCAGTCCCAACTTGCAGCTCCCGGCTAGCCCAGGCAGGGCCGGCTTTAGGCCGATTCCCCGGAATCGGGCCCCGCGCATAAGAGGACCCCGCGCCCAGCCAGAGCGCGGCAAGCCTGTGGCCCCACTCCCTGGGCCGGGGCGTGGCAATGCAAAGTGCTGTCAGAGCGCTGCCCCGCTGATTATAAGCCCCCACGAATCGGGCCCCGGCCCTGAGCCCAGGCCTGGACTCACCTTTCCTCAGGAACTCCCCGTTCTGGTGGTCCATGTACTCGTCACTCAGCTGCGAGTAGTTGGACATTTTGTTCCCCTTCATGCTCTGGAAGGAGGCGTTCTCCACCACCGCGGCCACTTGCTCCTCACTCAGCTCCTTCCCCAGGAAGTGGCAGATTCTCCGCACGCTGCCCCGCAGATCCTAGGGGAAGACACCCACTGCCATGAAGAGGATGATTCCTGGGTGACAATTTTATGGTCCACATGTGCCTCAGTTCCCTCCCCCCGCAGGGTCCTGCTCCCCACTAGGTGCTGAGGAAGAGACCCCTTCAAGGGCAGAGGGCCTTGGCAGTGATCCACGTTGGCCACCTGAGGTCAGACCCTGTTCCAGGCCAGGGGCAGAGGAATGCAAAGGCCAGGAGGAGCCAACACCCGGGACATGGATGCCGAGGCCTGGGGAGCTGGGGCTGGGAACACCCTAGAACACCTCCTGGCTGGGGGCCTGGGGCGGGGTTATATGTGGGGATGGCTCAGGGGCAGGGTTATATGTGGGGGTGGCTCAGGGGCAGGGTTACATGTGGGCATGGCTCTAGGGGTGGGGTTACGTGTGGGCATGGCTCAGGGGCGGGGTTACATGTGGGGGTGTCACCAGGTGGCGGGGCTATTTGTGGGCGTGGCACCAGGGATGGAGTTATGTGTGGATGAGGTCTCAGGGGCGGGGCTATGTGTGGGCGTGACCCCAGGGGTGGAGTTATGTGTTGATGAGGTCTCAGGAGCGGGGCTATGTGTGGGCGTGACCCAAGGGCGGAGTTTCCCTACCTGCTGCAGCTCCTCGTAGGTGATGGAGAAGAAGTTCTCGTTGCCCGTCAGCCCCATCCAGCCGGTGACGTGGTCGAACCAGGAGCTGTAGGCCACTGTGCAGGAGAGAGAGCGGCACGGTGACCCCAGAGCTGCCCCCCTTGGGCCCCTCCACCCACTGTTTAATTTATAATTAAAGTGGTGCCACGGCTCAAGCAATTTTTTTACATGCATAACTGATGCAGCCAGCCCAGAGGTGCTGGGGCTCTGAACTGCCAGGCCCAAAGGTGCTGGAGCTCTGAACTGCCAGGCCCAGAGGTGCCGGGGCCGTGGCACAAAACAAGCACTACTTCCACCTAAGTCCCCTCTGTGACGTTATTGATATTATCTGGGACCATATAGAACATT